CCCTACCTGGAGGTCTGACTAAATATAGAAAAAGGAGAGAGCAAAGCATATTAGAAGGTATAGAGGAGAATTAGGAGGAAGGGAGCCAAGGAGGGGCTCTGAGTGAAAGGCTGTTGGACACTCAATGGTCACCAAGTCCAGTGCTGCCCAGAGGCCTTTGGTAAGGGTCTGGAGAGGGCTGGGGCCTCTGGGATGGACCCTTAAACCCTTTCCTGTATGGACCACCATATGTTAGATTTTTGGAGAATAAAAGGAAAGATAGAGAATTAGGAGACAAGAAAACAGAGCCAGACCTACAACAGGCAAGGAATATATCTTAGTTTATTCAAAGAAGATACAGTGAGAGGTAGAGGCCATCCACGGGAACCAAGCTTCTACAACTAGACAGAGAAATTGGGGGCAGGGGCAGAGTGTTATATGAAAGTTGTAAGACACGGCTGCACTTTGTGGGGAGTTGAATTAGTGCCTAGGTTTGGTGTCCTTGAGGGTCTCTTTTCTCAGACAGGCAGGTAAGTTTTCAATAGCAGTAAAGGAGACAGTTGGGCTCCACAAACAGCTCTCTCTCTCTCTCTCTCTCTCTCTCAGTCCAAGAAGTGGTCAGTTAATAAGGCTTAAGCAAGGCCAGGTGGCCAATTTAGAGCCAGTTAGACACTTTAAGGGATTTATGACTTTCCCTAATGAGGCTTGTGGCTCTTCTGCAATTAACATATTCTATCATAGGTAGGTTCTGTATTTTCAGATTCAGCCAACCACAGATAGAAAATATTTGAAATAACATTGTGTCTGTACTAAACATGTCCAAACTATTTTTTTCTTGTAATTATTTCCTAAAAATAATATATCACCTCTTTTCCTAGTGTTTGGATTATATAAGACATTGTAAGGCATCTAGAGATGGTTCATTGTACATAAGAGACTATGGATTGTATGGAAATTCCGGGCCATTTTATATAAGGGACTCAAGCATTCATGGGTTTTGGAATCTGGGTAGTCCTAAACCCAGTCTTCCATGAATGCCAAATGAATTGCATCAATTTTCCTAAGAAACATGAAAACATGTCTGTCTATCACAGGTAAGGTATTAGTGATAGACCAGGGTACCCACCCCTACCTTGGTGAACCACTGAGTTTATTGGGGCCGCTCACATGTAAAGTGTTACTTACAGGAACAAGAGTGAGTCAAAGACATTTGTATCCCTGGAAAGCCCGCCCCAGTGCGGTTGAGGAATCATGAAAACATCATCCTTCCACTCCCTGGCAACTTGCAGCTGTTCTGCCCCAGCGTACCTCCTCCAGCAATAGTTTACTGCTCATAAAATCTTGAAAAGGGTCCTTGTGACTCTTCTAACTTTTTGAGCTTCCTGAGATTTGTAAGTTTCCTGAGCTTTCCCAGCCTGATAAGTTTCACTCACTTCCTAAATCTTAAGAGCCTCTCAGGAAGTGTCCTAGTTACTTTCTATTGATGTGGTAAAATACTCTGACCAGGGGCTGGAGAGGTAGCTCAGCAGTTAAGAGCACTGACTGCTCTTGCAGAGAACCTGAGCACAATTACCAGCACCTATATGGCACCTAGCAATCATCCATAACTCCAGTTCCAGGGGTATTTGATGCTCTCTTCTGACTTCCACCTGCATTGTAGGACAAGGGCACACTTAAATACATGCAGACACTACATTCATACACATTAAAAAAAAAAAAGTAAAAATAAAGATAAAACACTCTAAACAAAACCAATTTGGGGAACACACAGTTTATCTCATTATCTGTCAGGACACAGTTTATCACTGAGGAAAGCCAGGGCAGGAACTTGGGGTAGGAACCTAGAAGCGGGAACTAAAGGATAAACCACAGAACATTGCTTACTGCTTTGTTTCCCCCTGGCCTGTGCTCAGCCTGCTTTCTTATACAACCTAGGATCACCTGGCAAGAGGTGGCACCACTCCACATTCAGTGTGGGCTGGGCCCTTCCATATCACTCAACAATCAAGAAAATGCCTCCCAGACAGGGCCACATACCAATCTGACAAAAGAAATGCCTCAGTGAGGTTCCCTTTTCCTAGTATGTCAAGTTGACAGCTGCAGCTACCTAGCACAGGAGAGATTGTTTCAGTTCAGAGTAAACAGCTACAAAACAATGACACTATCTAAGAAGAATCTAGAAAAGCATTTGTGTGTGTGTGTGTTTGTGTGTGTGTGTCCCTAGAACATCAAGTACAGAAGGATCTAGCTCAGAAGGTTCTTTGGCACAGAGTCAGAGTTGAGTATCATCTTGAAGCTCATTGCACTACTCAACTTTCTCTCATTGTAAAAGCATACCTGTGCCAATCAATTTTAAAAGAAGGCAGGCTTATTTTGGCTCGAAGTTTTAGAGATTTAAGTCCATGGTCAGTTGGGTGTGTTGCTTTGGGGCCTAAGGCATTACACCATACCAAAGATGTTCACCTATGGCAAGGAGGAAGAGAGGGAGGGAGGGAGGGAGGGAGAGAGAGAGAAAGAAAGAAAGAAAGAAAGAAAGAAAGAAAGAAAGAAAGAAAGAAAGAAAGAAAGAAAGAAAGAAAGAAAGAAAGAAAGAAAGAAAGAAAGCAGGGATCCCAATATCCCCTTCTAGGGTATGCCCCATGACTAGAAAATCACATACTAGGCTCCATCACCCCCACTAGCACCCCAAGCTGGGACTTAGCCTTTAACACATCAGGCCTTTGGGCCTACACTTGTCCAAACCACAGCACTCACGCTTCGAGATGCTAGAGGCAGTTTTGCAGTTCACTGTTTCAACAGAGCCCAAATTATTGCAGGTAGTATGTGCATAGAGACTAGACACCAAGGCCTTTCTTTCCTCTAGGAAGCAGTTTATTTGTGCTAACACCTGGCTTCGGGAGATAGTTCTCAAAAGCTGAGCCCTGAATAAAGGAACACCCAGCCTTTTACACCTTATGTTAGTTTCCCTTTATACTTCAGGTTGCTTTGTCTCCCAAGTATGATAGCACACGTATTCTGATTGGGTGTTCGGTGCTACAGGATCATGACTGGCAGAGTTATGTATCTGAACTCAGGCGTAGACCATGTTGCATTGTTTTTTCTTTGTTCTGGGAAATTCCCACAATGTCTGTCTGTAAGTACAGTTCATACTCTAGCTCCTGCTTCTGCAATTGCCTGTCCACAGTTGGAAGGTGCACTTTATTTTGATGGTGTGTGGGAAGCCCAAGAGCCTGGGGGCTTTATGGTGAGGAGCATGGGAGTGCCCCCTGCCCATCATTCTACTCCGAACTGTCATCTTCCCTAACCTGACTCAACTTAAGATATTTAAGCAAGGTATGGAGATTAATTCGTGGCAAGGCAGTCCTTACTCCCTAAGTTAATGGACCTAACAAATACTTCAGTGGAAATTTAATAGTCAGGAAGGGAAAAAATTTGAAAAGCATCTCCTCTGAGAGTCTATTCCTTCTTGGAGATTCCTAACATATGTTCAAAAGTTAAAGGACTGGGGAAAAGGTAAGAGCCTGTCTGAGCTTCTGTATTGAACTCTTCCCCCAGCACAAGCCATTGATTGGATTTTTAAGGAAAAGCAAGATGTAAAATCAAGACATCTACTGATGTCTTTGGCATTGATTCCAGGCAAGGTCCATGCTATGGGTACACATCCTGCCTGTGAAGGATGGAGTTGCAGAAGAGCTCAGAGCTTCTTGACCACCATTGGCTTGTAGCTCTTCACCTTATATTAGCTTCTTGTGGCTTCCATATCAAGGATCCACCAGCTGAGTGGCTTAGAAACCTGTTTGTTGTCCCACAATTCTAAAGGGTAGACCCAAGATCCTGGAAGGTTTGGTTCATCCTGAGTCTGTGAAGGAGGTCTGTCCTTGCCTTCTGGTAGTTCTTGGACCTGTGGCAGCGTATTCCCAGTGTGTGCCCAGTGTGCATGTTTATTCTAACTTTCCCCTTGTAAGGAATTCTGGTCTAACAAATTCCTATTTTGATATCATTACTTCTATAAGGGGCCCAGTTACATATAAGATCACATTTTGTGGTGGTAGAAGTTAGGACTTCCACATGTTAATTTTAACGGCATCACAATTTGACCCATACCAGGTACATTACAGCCACATCCCTCATACAGGTACATGTGCATGCTGAAAGAAGTATGTGAAGAGGGAAGTTGCCTAGATTTTAAGAGTCTCCATCCTGAACTCCAGAGATGGGCTGTCTCCTTTACAAGCAGGGAATTCGGGTGCAATGCTGAATGTCTATAAATCTCCAGGTCCACCTGTCCACTGGGGACAGTATACCTTCCAGAATGTAGCTTTGGACAGAAGCTGACACACAGTTGATACTATGCACATCTTCCCATCTAAAGGCATGTCCTCTGCCGAAGGACATGGTCACTCCAGTGTTTCTCCAGAGGCCACAACAGTCCAAGCGGGCATTGTTCCTGCTTTAAGGAAGTGAAGAGCCCTGTCTCCTGCACTTGCACTAGCTTCTCAGAAGTCTGCATGCCGGTCAATGTATAAGGAAAGAACATATCACATCACTTTACTCCAGCCCACTGTTTACAAGATCTACATGAATCTTTGCAGAGTACTCTGCTGAAGGCTGTGCAGGGCTGTGTGAAGGTCATTGTCTCTTTTCCAAGCTCTCCAAGCTCTTGCCTTAGTATCACAAAGACACCATTCACCTAATACATCATCTTTGCAAATATCAACATTTGCCCAGATTTGTCCAAAGAAAGGGAATATAGAGCTAGATAGAACTCAGACTAAAATCCTTGCCCTTCTCAGCTTGTATTTGAGAGAAAGGAGACAACCATGATCAACCAGGTAAGTGATGTTTGCATTACCTAGTGTGTGCTGAACACCATCAGCACATTCATGGAGAAAGGAGAAAGGAGCCAGCTAGGGCTAGAGCAGGAGGCCTTGAGCTCTGTCAAGTTCAAGGAGGGAGCTCTGGGGCTGGAACTACTGACCTCTGTTCTCGTTTTCTCCTCTGTCCTCAACATGACCTCGTAGGAGTGACCACAGTGCTCACCATGACAACACTCAGCATCAGTGCCCGGAACTCGCTGCCTAAGGTGGCCTATGCCACGGCCATGGACTGGTTCATTGCTGTGTGCTATGCCTTTGTCTTCTCTGCGCTAATCGAATTTGCCACAGTCAACTACTTTACTAAGAGAGGATGGGCCTGGGATGGCAAGAAGGCCCTGGAAGCAGCTAAGATCAAGGTAGTCACTTATGTCTTCCTCCTTTCTTTCAGCTTCCATTGATTCTGAGCCAAATATGAGACAAGTGATTTCCCCTTCCTGTCTCTCCCCTCAAAATAATTCTTCCATTTACATGTAAGGCCTTTACAAGTTCTTACAGCAGGTCACTTGTCTAATATATTTTAAATCACCAATTTCGTTCAAGCAAAAAGTCTATTATACAAATGACTTCGGCTTATTATATTGAAGTCTGTTATTTTTGTAAGTCATCCAAGAATGACTTGTTGAAGTTTTAACTGTGAGATTCACTTTCCAGCCTGTTCTTTGCCACTGAGTCACTCACTGTGTCTTCTTTGAGGTGGTCATCAGGTTGTGCAGAGGACACACACGTATAATAGACACTGTCAGTCAGACAAACAGACCCAGAATATGATTTGATTCACTCTGGCTCTGAGTGTGAGTGGTTGTAAGAAGTTGCTCTGTTCCGATGATCATGATTCACTAAATATTTCAAGGTGACTTTGCCTAAATCTAAGAAAGAGCTTAAGGAAAAGAGTTGCATTAGGTCTCAAGCTGAATCATTTCCAAAGGGAGATGAGGAAAAATGTACATACATGGAAAATAAAACGATCTTTGACAAACTGCTAATTATACCATATATAAAACACATATTTAAGCAAGTTCTTTGTGCTGAGAGAAGATGAAATCAGTGCTATTGGGGGAAGATTGAAAGGAAAGCCTAACCTGTCCTCTGGAAGTCAGCATGAAAGGAGTTAAGAAGGGTTCAGATACAGGTGGAATTAGATGTCCTGACCTCCCGCCTCGGGGCCACACACAAGCACTCTCATCCCACTGAGGATGCCTGCTTCTGTTCTCCCCTCAGCCCTTGCCTGCTTTGGGATTGGATACTGCATTTCTTTCCCCAAGAAGAGTCATAGGCTCTGACTTTACCATGGATTGTCCTTGCTTCCAAGGCAGCAGTCCATTCTCATGCCCTGTGCTATTCCAGAGCCCCACCTTCAAGTCCAGCTCACCATGTCAGAACTTCCTTCTCTTGAAGACAGGAGAGAAAAGGCTGATAAATAGATGGCTTCATTGAGAGTGTGCCACAGTCTAATCTTTAAGTTTTCTTTATACCTAAGGAGCAGTTTATGAAAGCATGCTAACCCCGAGCTTATTCATCCAAGCTCACTAGGTATCTGACCATTGGGTGCACTTGCCTAAAGGTTGTTGCTTCGACACAGTGCTTGTTCGGGTTTTTGGGGTCTGCAGAAACAAGAATGATCTGATTGTAGTGGATGATCTGTGGAGATCTGTGAAAATATTTGTGAAGACAGGTTGTCTTCAGACTTTGAGACTAAAAATAGCAGCCAAGGCAGCCATGGAGGTTGTTTGTTGGAGAGGAACAAAAATGGAGTGTGGGGAGAGGGTGCTACCCAGAACCACCCCATGCCAAGAAGACATGTTTGCCAGCTTCCTGGACTTTAGATGTTTACCGGATGCCTGGACAGATGTTTGCTAGTCTGCCACTGGTGATAGACTAGAGCTGGCCAAGTCTGAATAGAAGGACTCTTGAGAGGCCATTGAACAAATCAATGCAGCAGGCCCATGACTGAGTGCAGGTAGACACCGAGGACAAGGGCAGCTGGAGAGATCTAACATCAGCTGCTGACATGGCTTGGAGCAGGCTCCATGTACTATTCTGTCCTAGGTCTGTGTGGAGACCTGGGAAGCAGCAGATGACAAGAATGTGGATTGGTTAATCTCATGCACAGTGTGCCATAGTCATTCCTATGAAACTTCAAGATGATGAGCTGCTTCCTGGAAGGCTTTGGTGCTGCCCCCACCCCCATGCTGGAAGGGCTCTGTGCGTGCAGCATCACATTGTCAGACAGGCCAGGCACACTACCCAGGGAGTGAGTGTGAATGTATATACCTAATGGTAATCTGCTGTTGTAAATTGATGATTACTTAGAAGCTACAAGAACTTAACAAAGAAAATAGACTGTGCTTGCCATTGCTTGATGTTGATATGTGAAAAGGGAGAAAGTGAGATTTGGCGGAAGATGCTGCTGCTCTATGCTCAGACTCAGCAAAGCCTCAGATCACCCATACTGGAGCTCTAGAGCAAGCACTCTGGGGACATGGCAGAGAAGTGATGCTCCTTTGCTGTTAGATGTGTATCTCCTCTCCAAGGGAGGTTGTACCTAGAGATACAAGCAGCTTTCTGAAGGGAGGCTGTCTTTGAAAGAGCTGGCCACAGTGTTCACAGCTGAGCAGCAAAGCTTTTCTGGAAGAGAGATCCAAGAACCTACCTCCATGTCGACCACACCCGCTGGAACTGTACTGAGCCCAGTGGTTCTGCACTCTTCATGCTCTTCCCTCCTAGTTAAAACACTTGGCATCATGACACAGTAGTGTGGCTGGTTGTCCGTATTCACAGGTTCCGTATCTTTGGATTCAACTAACCACAAATCAAACTGCTGAGGAAAATATTTCAAGTACTGAATGTTCACAAAATTTGTTTTCTGGTCCTTTTTCCACTAAACAATACAGTATAACAGCTATTTATATTGTGTTAAGAACATGGTGGCTAAGAACCGTCCTTAACTCCAGTTCCAGGGGAATCCAAAGCCCTCTTCTCATCTCCACAGCATTGCACGACACATGTGCACTCACATACATGCAGGCAATGCACTCATACACATAAAATAAAAATAATAAATAAAATATTTAAATAATTAGAAGTTATCTATATATGCTTTAAAGCACATGGGAAGATGTGAATAAGTTATACGTAAACCCTAAGCCATTTTATATAGGTTACTTGAACAGGTTGGGATTTTGATAACTGTGGAGTCCTAGAACAAATCGCCCAAGGATACTGAGGGATAGCTTTGTCTTCTATTCTATTCTTTTCCTGACTCCCAGAGATGAAATCTGTTCAAGCAGTAAGTCATACTTAATGATTTCTTCTGACAGACCAGCATGGAGCTTACATGATGGTTTTGCAGCATTGCCCACTTCCCTCCCACTCTGCCCTTCCATGGTCCCCAGGGGGTCTCCATAATCCCTGTACCTGGCTCAGCATTTGCTTCACCTCTGTATTCACCTGCCTTCCCTTGCTGCTTTTCCTTTATACATTTTAGTTTGTTTACATTAGTGATTGTTTTCCAAATTTTAATGGATTTTTTGTGTGTATTTCATACAGAACATACCAAATAATCTTACTCATCTTTATACGTGCACCCAAAATGGCACCCTCCCATAGCCCCCCCTCCCCACTGGAGCCCATATACTCTGTCATCCCTGTCACTGCCCACTGTGTTGTCAGTACCTCCAGCCATTCCCCAGTGCAAGTCCATCCACTGAGGCTAGCCATCCTATCTAGAGTTCCTTGTTTTAGGAAAATCAGCTCTTCTTCATCTAGCAGTGATCAGTTGCCGACATTCCTTTAGATAAGATTGGGTCTGCTGTTCATTTTCCCGGTTCTATGCTGGGTTACTGTCTGCCTGAGTTTGCATGGGACTTGTGTATGCTGACACCATTGCTATAGAATCATATGAGCAGGTTCCCAGGAGCTTGTAGGACTCTGTTTCCATGTGGTTATGCCCATCCTCCCTGGGTCTAACAGTCTCTCCACTCCCTCTTCCTCGATGGTCCCTGAGCCTTGGGTGGATCAAGTTTAATAAAGGGGTCTTGTCCAAGGACCATCATTCAGCAGACTTGATCTCTACACTTTGGCCATTTGTGACCTTTTGTGTTCTTGGTCCTCTGCAGCATGAGGGAGCTTCATTGTTGAGAACTGGTTCCTTAGTGTCCTCTTCTTTACCCCTGTTCTATGTTCCATGAGCCTTACGTATAGAGGTTGCATTGCAGATGTGTCCCTTAGGCCTGGGAAATTCATAGACAATGTCTGTGTGTGACCCATTGTGGTACTTGGTAATTGTCTCTGACTGGTGCAAAATAAGCTTCTTTGATGCGAGGTAACTGGGATATTTGTCTGTAAATATAAGGATATATATTTTGCACATAGTGAGAAATCATATTAGTCTAGCAATGTGATAGTCTTGGGGTTTTCTAGAATTTCTATGACCATTCCAAACATGTGTATTAGATTATATTACCACACTTGATTTTCTTCCCTTTGAGTGGGCTTTTAGTCAAAATAGGTAGCTGTTGATTGCCCCCAAGACAAAAGTGCCACTAATGCAGCAATGGAGTATGCTGTGCTGGCCATTTATTGGTTGTTGGTTATTGTGGTTATTTGATTTTGAAGCTGGTGCTGGATCATCCTTTGATGTTTTCCCTTGGCACTTCCATAGTGTTCTCCAAAGCTATGAGAGCTTGCCTTCAGGGGCAGTGACTTCCTGGTCAGTTTCAGCTCTATTTCTCCAAATCCTGTGTCTGACGTATGTTCTGTCTTTGGCAGTAGGGTCTTACCTTCAAGTTCTGGGAGGCCATAAAGGGCTGTGGCAACAGCTTGAGTAATTTTGGGAGTCTCTTGGCCCACCCTGGACAACAGCTGAAAGGAAGATATCTCCTGTCTGGCACTGTTTCTTGTTATGTAACCTTTAGTTATATACATGGACTCTTAAAGAAATATACTGATCATGTTACTCTTTGGTTATACTTTCCTTTTGAGTGTTTAAGACCATACAGTTGACCCAAATGAACCAATTTATTTTTACTCTTAAGGTCAATTGAGTACCTATTCCTCAGGGGTCACATGGGCTAGGAAGGAGCCCTGGCTCCTTTCTTTTAGCAGTTCTATCTATGTGAAGATAAGTCAAAGGTTCTGCTCGACCGTGGCTGGCTTCACGTGGAAGCATGGAGGAAATGTTTTCTCTTTGTAGACCCTCCCCTTTGTAGACTGGACACTGGTTCAAGTCCATCTGGTGGGGTCTCCTTGGCCTCCCTGAACAAGAAGATAGTTGACTCATCACAGTTACAGGATATTTTGAGAGATGCTCCTTATTCCCCTGGAACTTAGTCGACCTTGGAGGGCATGGAGAAAAACT